CTAACCCAGTCTAACCCAGCTGAGGTCAGTCCAGTCTAACCCACCCAACCCAGCGCAACTAAACCCAGCCCAGCCAACTCAGCCCAACCCAGTCCAGCTAAACCTGGCCCAGCCCAGCCCAATCCAACTGAAAAAATTCCAACCCAACCCAACCCAGTCCAACCCAACCCAGTCCAGTCCAACCAACCCAGCTCAGCCCAACCCAGTCCAGCTGAACCTGGCCCAGCCCAGCCCAATCCAACCCAACCCAGTCCAGTCCAACACAACCCAGTCCAACCCAACCAACCCAACCCAACCAACCCAACCCAGTCCAGTCCAACCCAACTCAACCAACCCAACCCAGTCCAGTCCAACCCAACTCAACCAACCCAACCCAGTCCAACTAAACCCAGCCCAGTCCAACCCAATCTCGCCCTCCACACTCCCTGGCAGGAGGGGGCAGCCAGGGAGAGTCAGGCGCAGCTCCCGGAATTCCAAGATATTTTCTTGGGCTGCACCGGAGTGGAGGTTTAGGTGGGATTTAGGTTGGACACCTGGAGGAATTTCTCCATGGAAAGGGTGGTCAGGTGTCACGCCGTGACACGAAATAAGTCACAGAAGCAGGCTAGATGTAAAAGGAAAGAAAAATAACTTTAAAAAGCAAACTTTATTTTTTAACTCTACAATATATACAATAATAAAAGTGACAGTGGATTGGAGGGTGAAATTTCCACCTCTCCAACCACACTGGTCAAACTGTCCGTCAATTCTCTCTACCTACAAAAAAGAACACAAAACAATATTTACATAAACACGTGCGAGAAAATTCAGTTAAAATATGTAAATATCAGAAAGTGTAAAAAACTTTTAGGAAAACACTTGAAAACTCTCAAGAGCGCAGGGTGAGAGGCACTGGCAGCAGTGCCCAGGAGGTTTGGGGCGCCCATCCCTGGAGGTGCCCAGGGGAGGGCTGGACGTGGCATGGTGACCTCGGAGATGTTCTCCAACCTCAGTGGTGGTGCAGGGGAATGAGGACGGAAAGCTGGGCTGGTGGCACGGGCAGCTGTCCGTGTTTTTGTGTTTTGGGGACACTGGGCCGTGCCCTGGCGGTGCTGCTGATGCCCTAAATTTCAGCTTTCCTGTTTTATGGATTCTGCACTGCTTTAGGCTGTAGCTCGGAGCTTCCTACAGAGTGTCAGCAGCTCCCTCACAGCTCAGTCACACAGAGCAATCCTTTTCCAGCCCGGAGCCAAGGACACCGCTGCAGCTTCAGCACCAGAAAGTGCAAACAATAAATTGAGGAGAGCAACCCGGCAGGATGGGACTGCACAACCTGGAGCTGCAATTGGACAATTAACCCCAATATGGAAATGGACCAAAACTTATAAAAGTGTGAAAAATCATGACCTGGAATCCAACTTGGGTGTAGCCACGCTCAGGCTCTTGTACTGCCCACTGTGTGCTCGTGAAGGGACTCAACAAACTCCTGTTTATTCCTTTAACTCTTAAAAGTGTAAAAACTCGTGAGTGGGAGACCAACTTGGGTGTAGCCACGGCCAGGCTGTTGTACCACCCAAGGTGTCCCCATGAGGGGTTCAACAAACCCCTGCTTTATTCTTTAAACTCTTAAGAGTGTGAAAACTCGTGAGTGGGAGTCCAGGCTCTTGTAGTGCCCAAGATGTCCCCATGAAGGGACTCAAAAAACTCCTGTTTATTGCTTTAATTCTTAAAAGTGTGAAAACTCGTGAGTGGGAGTCCAGGCTCTTGTAGTGCCCAAGGTGTCCCCATGAAGGGACTCAACAAAGCCCTGCTTTACTCCCTTAACTCCTAGAAGTGTGACAACTGATGACCTGGGATCCATCTGCTCTGGAGCCAGGCCAAGCTCCCAAGGTGTCCCACGAAGGGACCCAACAAAACCCAGTTTATCCCCGTAACCCTGCGGGCCCTGTCCCAGCCTGTCCTGCAGCTCCGTCCCAGCCGGGCTCAGGGTTTCCCGGACCGGCCCGGGTCTGTCCCCATTCCCAGACTGGCCCGGGTCTGTCCCCGCTCCCGGCCCGGGTCTGTCCTGCCTGGACCGGGTCTGTCCCTGCTCCCGCTCCCGGCCCGGGTCTGTCCCGCTCCCGGCCCGGGTCTGTCCCCGCTCCCGCTCCCGGCCCGGGTCTGTCCCGCTCCCGGACCGGGTCTGTCCCCGCTCCCGGCCCGGGTCTGTCCCCGTTCCCGCTCCCGGCCCGGGTCTGTCCCGCTCCCGGCCCGGGTCTGTCCCGCTCCCGGCCCGGGTCTGTCCCGCTCCCGGCCCGGTTCTGTCCCTGCTCCCGGCCCGGGTCTGTCCCGCTCCCGGCCCGGGTCTGTCCCGCTCCCGGCCCGGGTCTGTCCCCGCTCCCGCTCCCGGCCCGGGTCTGTCCCGCTCCCGGCCCGGGTCTGTCCTGCCCGGCCCGGTTCTGTCCCCGCTCCCGGCCCGGGTC